TATGACCCTATGATCAACACATGTATCCTAATCTCATACAAGTTATAGCTAATATGCTGTGTGATGTTAATTTATTTTTATGGTAGTACTACCCCAATTCATATTTTTCTTTTTGTTTTGTTTTGTTTTTTTAATACATATTTTTCTATCAAAAATATTTTAGGAAAATGTAATGACAAAATATTAGGTAAATAGAGTACTATCATTTCCAAAATTTTAATTGAAATTTGAATCTGTCATGCTCATACTATTTGCTGTGTTCAGTAAGTTTTATCATATTATTTTTATTTTCATCGAACCTTTTGTGTCATTGGTATAGCTCATAATAGATCCAAGCTAAGATTAGTATATACTACTCAATCAGACTGGTTTTTCTATCTCTGGTTAGTTAGCCCTAGGAGTTGACTTTAACTGACCTACACGTTAAAACGGATGACATTTTAGAACAATTTGAAAGTATTTTGTTAGTCTGAAAATATATTTAACTGAATATACTCAGGGAGTTTGAAGGAAGTTGGGGCTGTGTCTTGCATACTCTGCTAATATAAGGAGGAGAGACCCCTGCAATTGTATATTTCACGGTATCCTTAACACCTTAGTCTTTCATCTTGAGGTTTCACTTGCATCTGTCGTGATAATTCTACTAGGAAAGCGAAATCAAGCTGGACCTTAGAGTCTCACTGGAGCATTGGGAGGCCCTAAACATATCTCTTCAATCACGTATCCTATTTTCTCATCTCCCAAGAGCTGGTTTTAATTGCCTTGGTTTCTCTAGAGTGGGAGCCTCAAATCTTTTCTTTACCCGAGGCCTCAGAATAGGAAAGGATAAGATCAAGAGGCCTAGAATAGCCTTGGAAAATTCTTATGTGACTGTTCATTGTTCGTTAGACTTCACAGAGATCTGCTTTGAAGTGCCTTTATCTAAGTATCAAACTATAGGAAGTTTTGTTCTGTTTATGTTCTCTACTAGGCAGAGAAACTAATGAAGCAAATTGGTGTGAAAAATGTGAAGCTTTCAGAATATGAAATGAGTATTGCTGCTCATCTAGTAGACCCTTTGAACATGCACGTACGTATCTTTAATCTTAAAGTTTCTTTTTGTCTAGCATTTTATGTCAAGGGTCCCTACAAAAGTGCCCTGGCTCAGTGATTTATAAGGTAGAATCACAGAACCGAGCAAATACTGATCTATTAGAGCAAAGGAACCAAAACAAAATCAGCAAAGGGAAAAGTGTGTAGTTGGAGGAATTCTGACCGAAGTTTCCAAAAGTACTTTCCCAGTGACTCACGCAGGATGCACTTAATTCTTCCAGCAGTCATTTGTGACAAGTGTGGGGTGTTGTCTGCAAGGAACCTCGCAATTTATTCAGAGCTGGGGACTGGCCACATAGTATGAGGGGTGCCCCCCAAACCCAGAATTTCCCCTAAGCTATGTATTTAAATTTTTTTACAAAACAACCTTATCACCTTCAAGGTACTCACCGTAACACTTAATACTATGTGATTCCATTCTTGGAAACATTTTTCAAACTCATCTGTTTGGATGGCTGACAGCATCTCCCTCGTTTTTTTTCTTCACCTCTTTTACGTAGTCAAATCACTATCCTTTCATGTCCTTCTTCCTTTGCGGAAACAACAGAGCCAGGTCAGGTGAGTAAGGTGCATTAGGCAAAGAGAGTCATGCTGGTTTTTTGCCCAAAACAGACTCACTGAGGTGGCTGCATTAGCAGGTGCATTGTGGTGGCAAAACCAGTCCCCTGTCTGCCAAAATCAGGCCTTTTTGGGCGCACACTGTTAAACAATCTTTTCACATCCTCTAAATAGAAAGCTTTTTAACAGTCTGACCTGGTGCATTGAACTCCAAAATGCACTATGAGTCGACATTTTTGTCCATTTGGGAAGTTGAGGGATATCCAGAACGAGGTTTGTCATCAGTCAACATTTCACCTTTTTTGAAACGAGAAAACCACTCGTACACTTGAGTTTTTCCTATAGTGTCGTCCTTGTAAGCTGTGTTCAACATCACACTTTCTTCAGCATTTTTCCCCGAGCAGGAAACAAAATTTCACAGCCGCACGCTGTTCTCTTAAAACGGCCATCACAAAAAAAGAGGTTCGAGCAAAACTATTTTTACGAAAAAATTCACTGTGAGCAAAGAGCAACTTCCTAGGCTATGCCACTGGGTGCCTTAACTCAGAGCGAGTTGCTCCGTGCTTGCCTAGTTGGGGGAAATGCATACTACAAAGGCTCTGCTGGTTTTTAAATCTTAGACTCTTGGAAAGGAAAGCAGGCGTCCAGCATAAACTGTATTGTTGGCACAGGTGAAGCACAATGAGCTGCTCTTATCAGGGAGTGGTGGAAACTCCATACATGGATGTTCCCAGACACCATCCAAAGACCACTCTAGCTAGAATTTGAAGGAAATTGGGCAACCGGTTATCATTTAAAAAAAAAAAAAAGGTGGGGTCCCGTCTAAAGATATTATCAGTCCTTGCCTGTTAAATCTTTTTCTGTACACATTTGTTTTCTTATGGTTCCCTTTGTAGCATATTAAACATTCAGCTTGTAAGGTGAATACTTGCTTCATGGAGTTTAAATCTGTAGTTCCATATAGTATGGTAGACAGCACAGGATTTTGGACGTTAGTTTTTCGAGTTACTGCTTTGACAATTGATTTCCTTTTTGAACCTCAGTTCCTTCATGCATAATCTAAGAATAGCATAGTTAATTGAATTTATAAGGGTTATGTTGAGAATCAGATTATTGTGATTTGTATACTAGGACCATTTGTAGCTCTTTTGTCACTGCAATTATATATTTATTTACTTGATATGCTAATAGTTTGTTGACATAACTGAGTAAATAGAAATGTGATATACCCAACTTAAATTTATAAATCTCCCTTTATGATTGATTCATACATTTATAACGTCTCCTTCTTGAGGCCCTTACATGTATACACATCTGAGTAAGTCTGTACTAAACAGGCCCAGGGTTTGTTGGCAGCTAGAGTAAAAGTAAGTTTATAGTTTTTTAAAGAATTGCTACTGGTTTGTATCCTCCCACTTTTATCATTCTTTTAAATTTTATAAAAAGAAATTAAATCTGTAAACGACTGCCTCTGACTGCTGTCTCTCTGTGTAACCACTTTGCTGCGGCAGTGTAGAAATTGATTCTTTTTAGAACCCTGTGGTTGAATCTTCCTCAGGCCATGGCCTTTCATACGTTCCTCATGTTCTGCTGACCCCCAGCCAGAACATTATTGTCATTGCTACTTCATCGCTATCATTTTGCTACTGAGATGAATCAGATGACCCCTGTGAAAGGGTCGTTTGACCCCCCCCCAAAGGGGTCATGACCCCCAGGTTGAGAACCACTTGTTTAGTGTGTCAAGGTTTTAAAAAAAAGGATTTATTTTTCTAGTTTCATAGCGGTTTATTAATTTTATTATTGCTATTAGATGTTTCCCACCCATGTTGTTATGTATTTTAGTACTTTTATTAAAATAAAATAATCTGGTCAATGTGTGCGATTCTCTGGAACTTATTTATTTTCTTTTTTTTTTTTTTTCCTGAGCTACAGCTGCAAAGTGGGCTAAACTTATTTATTTTCACTTGAGAATGCATTAATTTTGAAATTCATGTCGACCTTACATTTTACCAGGTTACTTGGAGTGATATAGCAGGTTTAGATGATGTCATTACAGATCTGAAAGACACGGTCATCTTACCTATCAAAAAGAAGCATTTGTTTGAGAATTCCAGGCTTCTGCAGCCTCCAAAAGGTATGGCAAAAGTTTAAATGTGCTAAAGAACGTAAAGCCTGACAAACACTGAAACATTCCATTATAGAACTGATTTTTGTGAAACTGGATTTCCAAAAGAACACCAAGATCTATGAGTTCTAAGTAGTGGTTATAAAAATAATCGATTATTCTTCAGTTTCCCAAATTTACATATATTTTCGTAGCTACATATCAAAATAACCCCTTTACTTTGATTCCTTTCAAGTAATGAACATTTTGTTGTGAGATACTTGGAAAGTCCCTCCTAGAAATGCCACACGGATGGTATATCCACTATCCTCTAGTTCTGTAGTGTCTCCGCCTCTTACTATTATGGCCTTAGTTTTACCTCAGCCTTGTTAGACCAACGTATGCTTATTTGTGTAATTAATTTGTTCGATGTGTGAAATCCGAGATAGATTAAACGGTTCAGAAATTGCAATCCCTGGGGGTATCGGAAATGGGGGATGGAGGAACTGATACCATTGATGACTGTATAACCCAATTGGGGGAGATGAACAGCAGAATTGTAGGTGAATTGGATGGGGTTAAGATACAGCAATTATAATATGTCATAATAAGGGTTCCTGAGGGATAGAGTGGGGGAGGGAGGGGAGAAAGGGGAACTGATATCAAAGAGTTCAAGAAGAAAGATGTTTTGAAAATGATAGTGGCAGCAATTGTACAATTATGCTTCATCTAATTGAATTATGGATTGTTAAAATATCTATAAGAGCTCCCAATAAAATGATTTAAAAAGAAAATTGAGGTAAAAAATATGAAGCCACTTTTTTTTTTTAACTTTTCAAGGTAAGACTTCTTTTTGATGTCTTTTGATTGTGGTGAGGTTCCCCACCCCACAGTGATCTTAATTATTTTTAAATTACAGTGATTCTTTTCAGAAAATTACCTTTGAGTGAAGCTTCCTTACTCTTAGGTGATAATTATTTTTGAAAACCTTCAAACTAAGGAATTAAGATTACTTATAACTGTCACAGTTTTATTCTTGTCCATGCAGATACTAAACCTGCTTAAGGCTTGTAGAGGTGCTTTCAGTGTTGATTACACAAAAATTTACAATGAGAGAAACAGATGGCTTAGTTTGGTGTTCACAGTTTAGCATATTTATTTCCATCTAGTGGAAGCTTCCGTTAGATATATCGGCAAAAGTACACAGGTTTGATTTATATTACTAATCAAGACTGAACTCAAAGGTTAGTCATATATATATAT